AACTGAGTTCCATAGCTGTCAAGCGTCCCTTATTTGGAGGGACAATCCCTTATTCCAGCGCCATGTCCCGCTGCTGTCCCTTATTGATGGGTGTCCCTTAAATGATGTCCCTTAAATTTCAAAGGAAGCAGCTCCTCTCCCTCCCTCCCTGCCGGCCAGGGAGGAGGGAGGCTCCAACTGTGTTGCTTGGCTGCGTTGCTCACCCAATAAGCAGTCTAAGAACGACTGGGGGGTGAAGCTTGCATGCCTTGTGCCGATCAAATCGGCCGCGTTGCCTGGGGACTCGCCTTTGCTCAGCGCTTCCAAGCGGAGAGGTGACGGTGGTTTTCCTTGCTGCATCCCCTTTGCTGGGTTGCAGCGCTATGAAAACCACCACTTGAGGCTTCGTTTGGCTGCTGGTTGACTAAAATCCCTTATTTTGGCTGCTGATCCCTTATTTTTGAGGCTGCTGCACCCTTATTTTCAAATCTGTAAGTTGACAGCTATGCTGAGTTCTGGTGAGCTGAAGAAAAGAAAAAAAGCCCAGCCCGGCCCACTTCTGCCAGATTTGCATTTGTGTGTGTTTTTCTGTCTTGCATTAATTTACCAATCCAACAAGAACTCCTGTATTTTAGCTTGCCACATCAGAACTGAATTTAATGACATAACTTATAGGACCCACGTCATATTCTGAACCATAACTCTTTGTTCCAAGTTTCAGCCTCCGACAAATGACAGCAACAGATACAGGTCTGGTCTGTGTATCACAGAAAGGGCTTAACCGTGACCCCGTGTTTGGACAACACACTAAGCCAAACCTCGGCTCCTCTGCCAAAAGAACCAGGGTGGAGCACAGCAGCTGCAATCTCCTCCTAGGGAGCCAGCACATTTGTGGTAAAGCATAGTTTGGCTTAGTGTTACATGTGCACATAGCCATATACAGTGGAACCTTGGTTTTAAGAGCATCTTGGAAGCCGAACGATTTGGAACCCAAACGCTGAAAACCCAGAAGTGAATGCTTTCATTTTCGAATGTGCCTCAGAAGTCCAACAGCTTCTGAGGCGCATTTCTCCATTTTTTCAATGGATTTTGCAGACCACCCATTGATCCTCGGTTTTCGAAAGTTTCAGAAGTCGGGCAGTCTTCCGGAACGGATTACGTTTGAAAACCGAGGTTCCACTGTAGTAGTTTACTGTTTAGTAATAAATGATGGGTGGTATTCAACTGAGTTTTACTCAACTTCCAAAGACAACATATTTGGAAATGGCATTATGTTTAATGGTGTATTAGCTGTACAGTGGCACCTCGGGTTAAGTATTTAATTCGTTCCGGAGGTCCGTACTTAACCTGAAACTGTTCTTATCCTGAGACATCACTTTAACTAATGTGGCCTCCTGCTGCCGTCGTGCTGCCGGAGCACGATTTCTGTTCTCATCCTGAAGCAAAGTTCTTAACCTGAAGCACTATTTTTGGGTTGGCGGAGTCTGTAACCTGAAGCGTATGTAACCTGAAGCGTATGTAACCTGAGGTACCACTGTACATAACTGTTGAACTGTTTTGGAAAAGGGAACTGCACAATTATAGCTTCATCAAGCACTATGTCATCTGATTGGGCAAAGGGACATTCCATAATATTAAAAATTTTAAATAATTTATGCAGAGCGCTTAAGGAAAAATGGAAATACATTCTATTAAACCTTCATCAGTTCTGTCTGGAGCAGGCTCTCCACTTTCTTTGCCCATTCATTGTCCTATTCAAGCATCAAAATCGATACTCTTTGAAAAGTTAAATCAAAACCAGAAGTATGGTTTGATTTAGTGAACCTCACATTAAAAGCGAGTTTTAGCACTGTCTTCACTAAAAAGCAGATTTAAGTTGGGCTTCACAGGCAGAAAAGAAGAAAAAAGGGTACCACAGCTCAAACACCGTCCCTAAGGGTTTAGCACTTACTGAAAGGCAGCAAAGCAAAACAAAAAAAGAAAAGGAAAAACAGAAGAGGCATGCAGTGAAATGGTTATATTTTTGAAGCTCATTTCATTTCACGTATTTAGCAAAAAAAGGAAAAAAAAATCTGCTCTATTATGCTGCTGCCTACAGTTAAGCTCACTGCCCCAGATAAGAAGAATTCCTATTAATAATCTAATAACCCCTAGGATATCCTTAGGCGCGAGATCCTGAAAACATCCATTCGTGGTTAGACCCCTTGATTTCAGAACACTACATGAATATTATCATTTTCAGAATCATCATCTTAAGACTGCAGATTAACAGATCAAGGTCCATCATTTTTATTTCAGCAAAATACCAGTGATATAACATTGAACTGATAAGGCAGCAGATCAGGATGAATGAGAGTATATTCTTACAGATTCCAAATTAACATAAATAAAAACTCTCTGAATTGTTTGCTGTATATAAAATATGTCTCATGTGTAGCTCAATAGATAAATAAATATATGAATATAGCACCACCAGTATTCACTGTGCAAAAATCAAACAAAAAGACTGTAAGGCGAGAGCTTACAGTCTAATAAGACATGATATGGGGGAAGCATGAGAACTACCTTATTATCTTGAAGCTGTGTTTACTAAGAATGCTCACTATTGTTATGGATTCCTAGGTGTTACTGTCATAAGACCCTATAGAGCAGGTGGCCCAAAAGCAACAGATGGTTTAGCAGGTGGTCAAGCAGAGGTAGGCTGTCTGTACCAGAGCAACAAGTTGCTCTGTGAGAATTGGCAGCTTTATAGGAACAGATGGGACCTTATCGGTTTCTTGCGTGACTTTATCCCTGCTGGGCTGATAGCTGTAGTTCTGACCTCTGACCACCTAGAGTGGTGATGCTGCATTGCAATGAAATTGGGCCAGCAGCTCCCCCTGCCAAGACACTGACATAGTGACTAAGGCCTCTGGGCTTCCTTCCAGAGTCTCTGGTCCAAGTCAACAGTGCCTTAAATATACACTGGTAACGTATCACTACATAAATTTCATACATTACTCCAAGTTACACACGGCAGTTTCAGGAATAGTCTCTCCATGATAGCTACGAACTACCAGAGTTTAAGTCAGAATATTCTGCATTTTCAGAACAACTGGAATGACAGGACAAGATTTCACATCTCACTTCTACCCTTGCTCCATGATACTTTGTGACTATTCACCTTGACGAACAGCATAAATTACACTGGTGTTGTATCAACACTAAGCAAACGCATTGGCACAAATGTTTAGGACAGGCATGGCCAAACTTGGCCCTCCAGGTGTTTGGGGACTACAACTCCCATCATCCCTAGCTAACAGGGCCAGTGGTCAGGGATGATGGGAACTGTAGTCCCAAAACATCTGGAGGGCCACGTTTGACCATCACTGGTTTAAGATATGAGTGTTACATAAACTGGAAGCGAGGAAGCAAGTCGGCCTTTCCTAAAAGATGAACTGGCCAGCTCTGTCCTTTCTTTCAGGTGATATCACAGAATCATAGAGTTGGAAGGTCCATCTAGTCCAACCCCTGTAATGCAGGAATACACAAGTGTCCCATATAGGGATCGAAACGGCAACCTTGGTGTTATCAGCACCACACTCGAGCCAACTGAGCTTTCCAGGTGCAATGCTACAGATTAAACAGATCTATAGGATTTGAGATTAGAGAGAGTCAAACAGCTGAGGTGTTTCCAACAGGCCTGCTCACCTCATTCTACACTTTCCTTACACTGGACTTGAAACCAAGTATAGAAAAAATGGTTGCCACTTTGAAGAGTTCCTCTGGTGGCTCTAACCATGTGAAAATGGACTTGAGCTGCACATTTCTGTGTCAGTGCAGATGAAACCATAAGCCTCCCCATTAAAGCTACAATCACAGTGAAGGAAGCTTTAAAATGAAAACAACACAATGGCCTGGTTTGCATGTGACTTTAAACCATGGTTTAAATTAAAAGTGAAAGGGCAACATGTTGGTACATGCTACTCAAAGGGTGCTCCTTTCTTCAGGGTGCTGTGGAGGAAACGAACCAGAGACTGGCTTTCCGTTGTAGGTGAACCAACGCCCATTGTTTGTTGATGGAGAAACAAACCACAAGAACTGGTTTCCACATAACAGTAAGTCAGGCTCTGTTTTCCAACCCAATCCCCACCCCAAAGCACTGAAAGAACAAGGAAGCTGCTCGTTCACATCAAACCATAATTTAATCAAAGCTTTAGAACTGGGCCAATGAGTGGCTGCCTTAATTTCTTCCATGGTCAACTCCAGATTCCAGTGATCATCAATCAGCTTATAACCCAGGCTTGGCATTATTTCATTTGCTAAACATAACAATGCCAAACTTTGCTGGTTTTTTCACCGTTATTCTAGTCACCCTTAGGATTACACAAGCTGAACCTCTGCAAATCTCAAGAAGATCCTGGTCTGATCTTCAGGCCAAATTTGTAGTACTAGCACGGCTATCATTAGCTGTAATCTAAATGCATGCATGTTGTCTCTATCCAAGAACTTTCTTCCTGGCAAAAATTACTTAAAATTAAGTATACTGTAGAACAGCAATGAGTACAATCCGCAGTTGAAACCTGTTGAAACTTCAATTAGCATAAGCTATCAAGAAGACAGCTCCAATGTAAAATTAATTATAGGCATTCAAAATTAGAATGTATTGTACTTTGCATATAAAGAGCACCCAAAATTTAAGCCAAGTACCTGTCCCAAAAGGATGGCACACTTCATTGCAGCTGTTTAGTTATATGAAAATTACTCTGTCTTGAAATGCTGAAATGAAGTTCCTATCCGTAACAGGCATAATTTAATAAAAGTAAACTGATATGTGCTCCTTGCCAAAAAGGTAAGAACAATTATTGATAATGTGAAGCGATACAAAGTACATGAATTGCTTCTCCTTCTGGTACAAAAAATATAAATCTCATTGACAGGCAACTTTGGGGTGATTAACATTTAGACATAAAGGTTATTTAACATTTAAGCACAAAGGTTATTTCCATAAAGATTATATCAAGTTATGAGGTTGTCCTTACCAGTCTTCCTGATGAAGCTCTTCCTTATAGAATAGGACATGCCTGAGTACTTCATCTATATTAGAGCAGCTGTTTTGTACACAAACCCAAACAAGAAGGCTGTGCCAAAGAAATGGTTTAATTTTGAACTGCTTTTGTTCAGGATTTAATTCAACTGATCCGCCAGTACCCATGGGTGACTAAAAAAAAAATAAGTTAAATCCGTTAATAAGACCTTGTGAATACAAAGTTAATTGGCAATTTTCTGCATAGACTTGCATCTCAATTTTTTCCATCATATTTGACTTTATCGGCTTTACATTTTCATGCAGAGTACATGTCATTTTGCTCTCACAATGTGTTTTTCAAAAAAAGGGAAGACATTTTGGGACACAGTCAAGAGAAGAGCCACTGCTGACAAGTGGCTTTGTTGTACAGATCCTTGCAAGATCTTTGTCCTAAGATACTGTACCATGTTAAACAGCTGCATGGTGTATCCGCTCATCTCGCTTTATTGGCCAAGGGAGCCGGCGTTCAGCTTCCAGGTCATGTGGCCAGCATGACTAAGCCGCTTCTGGCAAACCAGAGCAGCACACGGAAACGCCATTTACCTTCCCACCGGAGCGGTACCTATTTATCTACTTGCACTTTGACATGCTTTCGAACTGCTAGGTTGGCAGGAGCAGGGACCGAGCAACGAGAGCTCACTCCATTGCGGGGATTCGAACCGCCGACCTTCTGATCGGCAAGTCCTAGGCTCTGTGGTTAAACCCACAGCGCCACCCCAAGCAACTACTTAGGCTATATATGAGGATTCGAGATATGCCAAGTGTATGTCTTACAGTTCCAACATCACATACTCACTTATCTTACATTATGGGTACAATTCCCTCCAGTTCCTTTTACAAATAATGTAAGACAAATTCTGAGCTGCAAGCATTTCAAACCAAGCAGCACAATCAGACAGTATTGATTTTGCTGTAAGCCACTTCAATTATTATTTCAACAGAAAAGTGCAACACAAATAATGAATGAAATGAAACTAATATAAAAGACCTGCAATCACACACACACACACACACACACACACACAGAGTGGCAGACCTTCCCTCTTATGTGGTCCAGCCTTGCTCCCTACATTTTTCATGTGTTGGCTGAATACTGGTGGTGTGTGTGTGTGTGTGTGTGTGTGTGTGTGTGTATACACACTCTTTATGATGCTGCTCCAGAAGCATTGCTAAATATGAATGGGAAAAACAGACTCTGGCTTCACTTCATCATGACCACAGTCAACATATGGAAAAGCTGTGATTGAAAATGATGCCAGAATTCTTAATTTGGCTCATTAACTCTAAGTAAGTTTTTGCCTCAAGTAGGGAGACAAGAAGAAGATAGAGCCTTTGTCATAACAATGATGTCTACTAGGCAACAAGGTGTGTCTGAATCACTGGAGAAAAGAAATTAAGGGGAAAACAGGGCCTTTGAATTGATACAAAGGCTTCCTCCTTGTCCTATGAAACCAATTTCTTTTTTAAAAAGTGCTAGAATTTGGAAAGCTGACACATATCCTGTACAAGAGATTCTAACAGAGTTCTAATGCTCAGCACACAAAGGAAAGTCTTCTCAAACCCAGCTACTTCTGAAGCTTTTGCATGTCCTTACAGCAACGCTGAGTAAATTATAGATGATATCCACCTACACATTTCAGCCACACATTACAGTCTCTCCTTATATGCCTATTTTTATTTTCCTTATTTCAAGAGCTGCCATTCTGTGGCATAGCTATGAATCTCTCCATAAAAAGTAACAGAGCAGAAAAAAAGATTTCAGAGACATTATAGAAGAGACAGCTAAAAATATCAGGGTGGTGATTCAATTACTATTAATGGAGCTTAGTCTCTATAATATATTTAATTGAGCCGTGCAATAAATTATTCCTCAAGGTTTTCTAAATTGAGGAGTACATCTCTATAGCACCCTCCAGCAAACCAAGATGAGTGAAAGCTCTCTAAGAGGAGCCCTGGGTAATTTAAAACAAAATCAATTCCAGCCCATATCCTACCCCCTTGAGCTTTTCTTTCTGGCTCATGCTCAGAATATGCAGGAGAGTTGCTGCAGCCCTTGAGCTGCATTAACTCGAGCACAGTGGGGCCAAGAGAAGACTCAAGGGGCTCAGAAAGAGAGGACAATAAGCGCGCAAGCTGGCCCATTAGCATTCACTCTTTGCTCTCTGAGTAGCATCCTCCGCACCATCCACACTCCAGTTACCAAAAGGAAATATTTAGGGCAGGACGGCCTTGACGAAATGGACAAGCTAGTTGCAATGCCTGTTATTAAATACAGCAGGGATGTCCAACAGGTCGATCGTGATCTACTGGTAGATCCCCACGAGGTTATGGTAGATCACAGTCGATCTCTGGCTCCCTTTCCTTGTGTCGCTCCTGACACACCCCCTCACCCCACCCTCCATTGTTGTATGATCTCTGGAAGGGACGAGGGAGCTTTCTCTGTGCTGCTGTTTTGATCCATAGTGATATTTTTGTGAGTGACTTTGCCCCTTTGTCGCTTGCCTTTAACCCCCCCAAAAATGGAACGCCCCCCCTAAACGAGGCTTTCCTCCTCCATAAAAAAGCTCTACAACTTTGAGCTGAACCCCCCAAAAGGGGGTAGCTCACTGCCAGTTTTTAATTCTGAAAGTAGATGGCAGTCTCTTGAGAGTTGGCCACCCCTGAAATATAGTATTCTTGTTCAATGCCCAGTATGTCTGTGTGTGAGTGTGCACAAGGAGTATAGCAAGGAGGGACGATCTCACAAAGTGGTTTATATCATTTCTACATTTTTTAAAAAAGCATCAACTGTACAATAAAACAGAAAGGACAAACAGCTGTCCTTGAATAAGCCGTATCTTCTTCTTCTCCACTTACCTCAGAGCAGGACAGTTCTTTAGGAGCCCCTCCGACGGCAGCCATCACTGAGATGTGCTAATCTGGGGCTTCTCCTGAGCCAAACACCCCGGAGCAGGTTTGCGGCGAGGACAGGGGTTGCAGGGGAAGGAGAAGGAAGCCTCACTACACTAGTGGGAGCCCCTGCTTCTGCTCATCTACTGGGTTAGTTCGATCCAGGCCTCTTCATGTAGATACCTCAGGACAAGAATGCTTCAGCCAGCACTGTCCCCTAAGAGCTCTCCAAGGTCCTGTCCTTATCTGCTCTTGACTTTGACATGACACTGCCTGCTTCCACTGAGCACCTCAACTTCCAACAAAACTGGATGGTTCACTGGCAATGTTTAAAAGGGTGGCCTACCCCACCACAGCTATGATTTTTCAGCTGTATTGATGATAGATGTACTGATGATGAAACTGTATGTCCTACTTTTTAATAATCATCATTAACTTCCATTATGGCAGGCACGTTCAACAGGTAGATCACTGGACGGAGATCACTGGCTCCCCCCAAAGAAGCTAAACAACTTCGGCTCCCCTAAAAAAAGCTCTGCACCCCCCAAAAGGGGGCTTTCCTCCTCCCTAAAAGGGGGTAGATCACTGCCAGTTTATAACTGTGAGTAGATTGCAGTCTCCTGGGAGTTGGCCACCCCAGCATTAAGTTATACTTGGGAATTTGGGAAGCCACGTGAGGCTAGATCCAGAGGTTTGTTTATTCCAGCAGCAGAAGCTACCGTATACCGAGTCAGACCATTTGTCCCGCTCAATCAAGGTAGCCAAAGCAATGCTTTCGAAATGTTAAAGGTAAAGGGACCCCTGACCAGTAGGTCCAGTCGTGACCGACTCTGGGGTTGCAGCGCTCATCTCGCTTTATTGGCTGAGGGAGCCGGCGTAGAGCTTCCAGGTCATGTGGCCAGCATGACTAAGCCACTTCTGGCGAACCAGAGCAGTGCATGGAAACGCCGTTTACCTTACCACCAGAGCAGTACCTATTTATCTACTTGCACTTTGACGTGCTTTCGAACTGCTAGGTTGGCAGGAGGAGGGACCGAGCAACGAGAGCTCACCTCGTCGTGGGGATTCGAACTGCCAACCTTCTGATTGGCAAGTCCTAGGCTCTGTGGTTTAACCCACAGCGCCACCTGTGTTTGAAATGTTACTGGACTACAAACATTCACTATTCCTGACTCCCGATCGTGCTGGCTGGAGCTGATAGGCGTTGGAATCAACATCTGGGGTGTATCACTTTGGCTACCCCTGGTTTATAATGACTGACCGCAGCACTGCAAGGTTTCAGACAAGAGGATTCCCTAGCGCCACCTGCAGATACCAGGGACTGGACCTGGGATATTTTGCATGCAAAGCATATGCTATCTCAGTGAGCTATGTTTTTTTCTGCTGGAGAAAGGAAAATGTCGGATTCAACTCACTTTACAAAGTTTGAGAATGTCGAAAGGTACAGGGTTGCTTGAAAGGAAAAAGTTGCTACAGTTCTAATTAATATTCCCTCCCCTGAAAGTGATTCATTAAAGCAATGCTGCCACACCCACTATCAACAGCACATGTCAATCTATCTAGTTCAATTCAACTTTAGTCATTATGCCTGAATCACCAAGCATGCTTATTTAATAACAGGACACTATTTGGTGTATTATATATAAAATTCAGTCGTGTGTTACCTACTGTGTCAGAAAAAGACTTAGCCGGCTTTTCTTGCAAACTTGCATCAGAGGCCAATGATGTTTGAGAAAGTACAGATGTTTCACAGATGACTTCTCCAGCCTTCAGCATAAAATGTACCATGAAAAGGATGTTTGGGTACGGTTGGTAGCTGACTTCGGAAGCTGCTAACGCTATGGCACACACACACCAAAAAATATATATTATTACGTTTATCATACTGTTTTACAGTTTGCTCTCTACAGTTTTTGTTTCGTTTTTTACACAACGTCTACTTTTACTGTTCAGCTTCAGCAGAGCAGTTTTCCAGGGCAGATTTATAAATATTGTGTGACCCCTTGTGGTGTAACAAAAGACTACAGGCATGATTCTAAGGCAAGAGCTGATGTAACCCACACACTACACGTGGAGAAGTTTTCTGTGGTGGCTGTATTCCTGATTAAGTGCAATTAATTAATTTTCTGTTCTTAAATAAATGAAAAATAAACTATCCCTGACAGTTACAAACATGATGGCTAACATGATGCTATAAGGAGATATCCTCCTTAAAGCAAACTAGGCATATTTGCACAAAATTAGGAGGAATTCCATCAGTAAGCCAGCTGATTTCATCTAATAAACATTTATATTAACTTTAAACAGAAATATTTTTATATACAGTAAACCCGCAACTCATGCACATTTAAATGTGCATATTCAGCTTTCCATGCGCAGCAAAAAATATATAATGGAATAAATTAAAATGGGGTGGGAAGTGGGCAGGGTTCCAGGAAAAATGACTTTGGCAATCTGCCCAACATTGAACCCAATGGATTTTGACTACACACAATTTTTTCTTTAGGTGTGATCCCCAGAATGTAACCCCCATGTAAGTTGTGGGATTACTGTGCCATAATGGAAGTAAAGAACATGGTGCTGGTGGACACATACACATCCAAAGGGCCGCTTCTCCCCACAGAAATTAGGCCTGAAAGAAGCATTCTATTGTAGCTAATAGAATAGGTTGCAGTGCATACTTGGTTATAGAGTGTATGAAAAGCCTACAACAGTTCCTCTTGGTTTGCGAATGTGCCCAAAGCCCCCCCAAAAGGTTGATGGCCCCTTCCTTAATGCAACTTAAACACCAGATGTCTATAGACTTGACACACTTTCGATCATTTGTTCTGCAAAGCAGATATGAATTTTCTTTACAGTGTATTATACTGGAAAAACATTGTAAGATGTGAAGTGATCCAAGCTTATACTGTTTTAACAGCAATCTCCCACCGATTCCCTAGGTGTAATAACAGGAGAGTAACAGCCAAAGCCTGAAACCCATCCTATTTCTCCCACTGGAATGAACGAGTTGGGATTGCCAGTGAAATAATTTTGAGGATCAGGTTGCTTTTTCCATTGCAGTTTTACAATATATTATTGCAGCATTCCTTAAGAATGAGAATCAGAGAGGCTCTTTTATTTCTGAAGCTCTCTGCTGATATATTTTCTAAATCTGGATGCGGCAGATGAGTCATGTTTTCAAAAAGGAAAGGATACAGATATAATATCAGGATTTTTCTAATTGTCTGGTTCTGTTTTCTTCATTCTGTATATGAATTTGTGGCCATGACAACCAATAACAGTAGCAAGACTGCAATACCTCTGCAGTCTTACCACCACAGCAACAGCCTGCTGAGTCACTGCATACCGTGTACATATATGCCGAAAAGCGTGTGCTAAGAAAGCATTTGACATTAGGTTGGTTTGCTAGAAACAGTGGTGTCACGGGAATAGGGGTTGCTTGTGTGTAACCTTCTAGCTGTTCCAAACTGCTTAGGATTGTGGTGTGTCTTCCCTGACTGAGCAGCTTGGGTGCTGCTGCTGCTCAGTCGCTCGACGAATCCGTGAGTGGGCGTTTTCTAAATTTCCTCCAGCATAGAAGCTCCTTGACAGTTACTCTCCGCCTCCCCTCTCTGCGCGAAACCCTTCTGCGCAGAGTGGGCGTGCCCAGGGGCGGCCCTCCACTCTCTTCACTGCCTTCAGTGCCAGAGTCTCGGAGCCTCTCCTCCAAGATGCTTTCCCTCTCTTCCTCCTTCCTGGTGTCCCCTGGACATTCTTCCCCAGATGACGTTCTCTCTCTACCCTTACTAGTTCCTTCTCCTGCAGAGTCGGGAAGCCCGCCCTCTCTCCTCTGCTCCGATGTCAGTTCCCTGACATCCACCTCCCTCCCAGGGCCCTCCCCTCCCCCCGACCTTCCCTCTGACGGAGATTCAGGGACCCCTCGGAAAGAACTCTCTTCTCCCTCTGACGGTTCAAACACCCTTCTCCACTTGCTGCTCTCTCTCTCCTCTTCCCAATCCTCCCACTCCGATTCTTCTTCGGGCCAACCCCCCCCCTTCCTCGTCGGAGACAGGAAAACCCTCAAACTCTTCCTCCTCATCGGTGGTTCCAAATTGCTCCCTCCAGAATCTCTCTGGTGGTTGGGGCTTTCTCGGGTACCTCCTATGAAACTCCTCCTGCAGGTACTCATCCCTCATTTCTTCTGCTGGTACCCATGCATTTTCCTCAGTTGTTTCCCCCTCCCATGCCACCAAATACTCCACCCTCCCTCCTTTCCACCTGGAATCGAGAATCTCAGCTGCATGTCCACTGAGTTCTCTTTCCTCCATCTGTGGCTGTAAGGGTGTTCTATTTTGCTGGCCCAGACATTCCCTCCCTTCCCTGAATGGTGAAAGTAAGGACCTGTGAAACACCGGGTGCAGTTTCATGTGATATGGCAATTTGAGCCTAAAGGTCACCGGATTGACTTGCTGAGTTACTTCGAACGGTCCCAGCCTCTTTGGCCGTAGTTTCTTGCATCCTCCCTTGAACGGTAACCCTTTGGTGGACAACCACACCTGGTCCCCCACCCTTATGCTTTCTCCCTCCCTGCGGTGCCGATCGGCCTGCCTCTTATACACTTCCTTGGCTCTCTCCAGGTTTAACTTAAGCTGTTGGTGTAAAGCCGCCATTTCTTCCACAAACTGCTCCGCGGCGGGAACACTCCAACTTCCCTCCCCTTCCCCTGGAAAAGCCCTGGGATGACACCCGTAATTTGCCATAAACGGGCTCATCCCTGTGGACACATGTTCTGCGTTATTGTATGCAAACTCAGCCAACGCTAATTTGTCCACCCAGTCCTTCTCTCTCTCGTGGACGTAGCATCGTAGATATTGTTGCAGCACGCTGTTCGCTCTCTCTGCCTGTCCATTAGTCTGCGGATGCCTGGCCGTAGAGAACACCACCTCCACGTCCAGCAGACTCATAAGCTTTCTCCAGAAGCGTGACGTGAACTGCCGGCCTCTGTCAGATAAAATCCTCAAGGGGGCGCCATGCAACCTGAAAACATGCTCTACAAACAATTTGGCCGTTTCTTCTGCAGTCACCGCATGCGAACACGCGATAAAATGGCACATCTTTGTCATCAAATCAACAACCACCATTACTGCCGTCTTTCCCCTGGCCTTGGGTAAATCAGTCATAAAGTCAATTGATACCACCTCCCATGGTCTCCCTGGTGTAGGTAATGGTTCCAGTAACCCCACAGGAGCCGACCTCTCCCCCTTCGCTCTCTGGCAAACCTGGCACCCTCGTACATACTGCTTCACATCCTCCCTCACCCGTGGCCACCAAAATTCCCTGGTCACCCGTAACATGGTTTTATGTTGTCCAAAATGTCCCGCCGTGGGATTGTCATGCATCTGTTTGAGTATTCTGCTTCTCAATTCCCCCTCAGGTATGTACAAGGCCCCCCTATAGTACAATGCTCCGTCCTTGACTTCAAACTCCCCTTGAGTTTCCCCAGGGGTCCCAATCTCTCGCATCTTGGTTTGTGCATATTGATCATCCCTCGTCAACCCGGCTAGCTCTTGCCTCCCTACGAACACTCCCCCACAGACCCAATTTTCCTCTGGAATGACATGTCGTGCTACTTGTCCTCCCTCCCCCTCTTCATATTCAGGCTTGCGGGAGAGGGCGTCTGCTCTGACATTTTCCTTCCCGGGCACGTACCTAATCTCAAAATTAAACTTGGAGAACTCTTGAGCCCACCGCACCTGTCGTTGGTTGAGCACTCTGGCCGTTCTCCAATACTCCAGGTTCTTGTGGTCAGTACACACCTGGACCTTGTGCTGCGCCCCTATGAGAAAATGTCGCCACCGTCGAAACGCTTCGTGAATAGCCAGCAGTTCTCGATCGTAAACTGTGTAGTTTTGCTCTGACTTGTTAAGCTTTCTTGAGAAGAAGGCACACGGTTTCCACTCCCCATGTGCCTGCTGGAGCAATATTCCCCCCACCGCTCTGTCTGACGCGTCCGTCTCAAGCCTCATTGGCTTCCGCAGATCCACATGTAAGAGCTGCTCTTCCGACGCAAAAGCCCTCTTGAGCCTTTCAAAGGAACGCTGGGCCTCTTCCGTCCATTCGAACTTCTTCTTACTGCTGAGGCAATCCGTTATGGGTGCCGTTAGATGTGCAAAGTTCTTGATGAACTTCCTGTAGAAATTTGCAAACCCCAAGAACCTCTGCACGTCCTTCCTGTTCTTGGGAGGCTTCCATTCTAGCACTGCTTGCACCTTGCCCGGGTCCATCGCCAAGCCCTTGTCTGACAGCCGATAGCCAAGGAACTCCACCTCTCGCACGTGGAATTGGCACTTCTCCAGTTTGACCCACAGCTGGTGCTCCTGCAGTCTCTTCAGTACTTCCCTGACGTCTTTTACATGTTGCTCTTCGTTCTCTGAATAGATTAGGACGTCGTCCAGGAAGGCTACACAATTCTTGTAGAGCAATGACCCCAACACGTGGTGCATAAAACTTTGAAATGTCGATGAGCCTGATTGGAGTCCGAAGGGCATAACTAAGTACTCAAAGGCTCCCAGAGGGGTGAACATGGTGGTTTTCCATTCATCCCCCTCCCTCATCCTTATCAAGTTGTACGCCCCCCGAAGGTCCAGCTTAGTAAAGATCTTCCCCTCCCTCACCCTGGCCAAAATGTCATCAATCCTGGGCATGGGAAGGTCACAGGCTCCGACACCCTGTTCACGGACCTGAAATCTACGACCAAGCGTAGTTCTTTGGAGTCTCTTTTGTCCACAAAGAACACTGGACTGCCCCCCACCGCCCTTGATTCACGTATAAAACCCCTCTTCAGATTCTTGTCAATGAACTTTCTCAACTCCTGCATCTCCCTATCAGACATGGCGTACAGCTTACCCACTGGTAACTGTGCCCCTGGGAGTAGATTTATCTGACAGTCAAAGGGCCGGTGAGGGGGGAGTCTATCCGCCTCTCTCTCGCTGAAGACTTCTTCCAGGTCTGCATACTGAGGTGGTACTCTCCCCTTTTCTCCCACCGCCATTCCTGCCACCCTGGCTACTGCCATCCTCGAGGTTTCCCCTCCGTGGCAGTGCTCTACGCAGTGAGCTGATCCAAACGTGACTGTCCTCTGGTGCCACCCTACTACTGGGTCGTGTAATGCCAACCAACTCATTCCCAGTATGATGGGTGGTCCTGCTAGGGTGGCTACGTGAAAGGCAATGGTTTCAGTGTGTCTGGAAACTGTCCTTTTCATGGGAGGGGTTTGGTGGGTTACTTCCCCTCCCAAAAGTTCTCTCCCATCTATCGTGGTTACTTGCAGTGGATGTTCCAAAGGCACCACCTGGAGCTGGTGCTCTAGCGCAAAGTCCTTGCTAAAGAAGTTGCACGAGCTGCCTGAATCCAGCAGCGCCTTCACCTTGATGGGGTGTCCGTTTGGGAGTTCTAGTACCACCTCTATTGCAATGGCTGCTCGGGGGGGTTCTGGTTTGGGCACTTCTACTGATTGCTCGCCTGGCTGCTGTGCCCTCCTTCCTGCAGCCAAGCCTTGCCGTTTCCCGGCTCCTCCTTCTTCTCCTCCTCACTCCCCACTGCCCCCACCATTCCTTGCCACGCCTTCTTCTGAGGGCATGCTCTGGCAAAATGTCCCGGCTGCTGGCAGAGGAAACACCTCTTGCTGTTTTTCCCCTCCTTCTTGCGTACCTCGCTGGAGTTTGAAAGCCCGCGCGCGCTCACTCCTCCGATCTCCATTGGCTCCTCGGGCGGCACTGCTGACGTTGGCATGTCTGGAATCCGGTTCTCCTGCCAACGCTCTGGCCTCCCTTCCCGCCTTTCCAAAGCGCGCGTCTCTTGTCTAACTCCCACAGCGAGCGCCAACTTGGTCAGCTGATCCATCGATTGCGGGCGGGGCGAGCGGGAAAGTTCGTCTCTCACCCAAGGGGATAGCCCCTCCTCAAAAAGCATTTGAATCGGTTCCGAACTCAAATCCCACCCAAGTTTATGGATCAACATAGCAAATCTCGACCAGTACTCTCTCACTGACTGGTTTCCTTGTTTGCACCCCATCAGTTCTTTGCGCGTCACACTCAGTTCCACATCACTCGAGAACATGTGGTCCATCGCGGAAAAGAACTTTCTCAGGTCCTTCAAGGCAGCATTCTCCGCTGCCATCAAGGGGCGGACCCAATCCCTGGCTCGCCCCTCCAGGTGCCCCACCACGAAAGCAACTCTCCCCCCATCGTCGGTAAAATCATGGTACTGCAGATCCAACGCATACTGCACTTCAGTCTTAAAAGCGTTATAGTCTCTGGGGTTGCCCCCAAACTTCTGCACTAGTCCCGGTACCTTTCTTGCGATGGGGGTGATCTTTCCCTGGGCGTCATGTGTCCTCCTCTCATCCAGCCGCGCCGCTAGTAGTGCCAGTTGCTGCTCCAGGTCTCGATTTCTCTCCTCAAGACTCTGCCCGCCTCTGGCTCCCTCTCCGGCGCCTGCTCCTTCTGTTTGACTCATGACTGTTCCCCAGTGCTCTAGCACACAAGCAACGTAAAGGACTCACGGATTGCTGTCACGGGAATAGGGGTTGCTTGTGTGTAACCTTCTAGCTGTTCCAAACTGCTTAGGATTGTGGTGTGTCTTCCCTGACTGAGCAGCTTGGGTGCTGCTGCTGCTCAGTCGCTCGACGAATCCGTGAGTGGGCGTTTTCTAAATTTCCTCCAGCATAGAAGCTCCTTGACAGTTACTCTCCGCCTCCCCTCTCTGCGCGAAACCCTTCTGCGCAGAGTGGGCGTGCCCAGGGGCGGCCCTCCACTCTCTTCACTGCCTTCAGTGCCAGAGTCTCGGAGCCTCTCCTCCAAGATGCTTTCCCTCTCTTCCTCCTTCCTGGTGTCCCCTGGACATTCTTCCCCAGATGACGTTCTCTCTCTACCCTTACTAGTTCCTTCTCCTGCAGAGTCGGGAAGCCCGCCCTCTCTCCTCTGCTCCGATGTCAGTTCCCTGACAAGTGGCCTTGTGAATGAGTGACAACTGATCTGATTATATCAAGCACCCTTGTCTTCTTCTGCAGTCACACTCTCTGTACATCATAGCCTGCGTGAGGCATTCTGATGAAGAATAAGGCTGTGTATCGGAACCACGCTTGAGGGAAATATTCAGGAAGATTTTGCAGTGCCAAATCGTTCTGTTTGTTGGAACAACCTCTTTCTATGGAAACACATACTAAGTCGTGGCAGCGTGAAGTAAAGCCCCCAGGAATGACTCGCATTAATCAAACTCCATTTAGAAGTGATTCTATAGATTCTGCCATATGTTTTGAACACTCACTAATTTTATTTCTAGTTAGTCAAGAGCCTAGGAACAATAACGGGTGGCTTTCGAATCAATGAGAGCCAGACTCTGTAGCAGAAATGTTCTTCCAACATTTTTCTGGACGGTATTTATTCCAGTAGTTGGGTTAAGGTATGTGAACCAGCAAGCCCTTGGCAAATGGAAATAGAAGAAGCTTGGCTTACTTTTGAAATAGGTAAACTCCCTGAAATCCACTGCAGGTGGGGATTAGAAGCAGTGTGAAGATTCCTCATCTTGGCTTTGCTACCATATTAAAAGAAATGGCACAATCCCACTGCCTTTGAGGTAGGATTTAACCCAATACGAACAGACCACGTCTGTATTTGTTTTGCTTGTTAAATGCCATCTACTTTCACCAAAAACTCATGATTAGGTGTTATTCACCTAAATCTCCATGTTTCAAGTATAAACTCCTTGTTGCCTAGTTCAGATGTCCGTAACATAATGAGTAGTTGCAGGTAAAAACAGAAACAGTGATCAAATGACCATATTTTAACAACGTTTTCCACTACTTTTCCCAGAACAGATGTTAAGCTTTACTGGCCTATAATTTTCCAGATCACCCCGGATCCTTTTTTTTTTATGGTGTTACATTGGCTGCTATCCAGCCCTCAAGAAACCTAGCCAGTTTGTTTCTCGTGGCCTAACGCCAAATGAAAGACACCTGTTTCCGCTGAACCCAGTTTAGAGGAGATATGCTCCCAAGTCCATACAACTGCACTTGGAATACTATGTACAGTTCTGGCCGTCTCGCCTCAAAAAGGATATTGTAAAGCTTGAAAAGGTTTAGAAAAGGCCAGCCCAAATGACCAAGGGGGTTGAGCAACTCCCCTATGAAGAAAGGTTACATAATGGTTATATTCTACTTCTGCTGTTTCTGAGAGGGACGCGGGTGGCGCTGTGGGTTAAACCACAGAGCCTAAGACTTGCTGATCAGAAAGTCGGTGGTTCGAATCCCTGCGGCGGGGTGAGCTTCCATTGCTTGGTCCCTGCTCCTGCCAACCTAACAGTTCGAAAGCATGTCAAAGTGCAAGTAGATAAATAGGTACCGCTCCGGTGGGAAGGTAAACGGCGCTTCTGTGCACTGCTCTGGTTTCACCGGAAGGGGCTTAGTCATGCTGGCCACATGACCCGGAATCTGTACGCCGGCTCCCTCGGCCAATAAAGCAAGATGAGTGCCGCAACCCCAGAGTCTGCCGTGACTGGACCTAATGTTCAGGGGTCCCTTTATCTTTTGTCTTTACTGTTTCTGAGATTCCTAAGTGCCGCGAGTGCTGTTATAGTCATGTCTCGCTTGTGAGCTTCCCACTGACATCTGGTTGGCGACTGTAAGAACTCGTAGCCTAGAGAGGCCTTTCATGTGATCCAACAGGGCTTTCTCTCTGTTCTTCTGCCTATTCACCCAGCCCTCCCTGCAAATGAAAGATTGCCTATGGGCATACTTGAGAAACATTTTCTAATTGATTTTGAGAACCCTCTGGGCTTAGCTTCCCCATTAATAGCATTCGGGAGATGACCAGGAAAAGTACTGAGTAGCTTGATATATAAGTACTTCTCTCTCCTTAGGAATGGAACACAATTAACATTTTCCACAAACGTTGAGCTACAAAAAAGGCATCACAGCCTCCTATCACAAGCCCCAGACTACTTATGAAGAACAGTTTGTGTGAACTTTACATAAGTCAAGGATGCTAAACAGCCTGCTCTTAATTAAGACACCATCTGAGGAAAGAGCTTTAAAATAGCTAGATAACGATTTCTTGTGCTTCACACCAGTAACTATTACATTGTTCCCTAAAACAAACACTTGATTTAAGTACAGTGTTTCTGACAATTGGAATCTTATGTTAAAAGTTAATGATATGAGGTGTTATACTTGTTTTCAGACTGAAGAGGGATTGCAAACGTAGAAGTGACACTCAGGAACAGCAAGCAGTCCTGGTTTAAAATAAAGGGTAAATAAATACAGTGGCAGCGCTGCTCTACAGTTAGTGCATAGCCAGCAGCAAAGCTGGGAAACAGAATGAGAGGTAACTCTGGATGCAGCCTCTCTCATCCAGCGCAGGTTTTTCTACAGCACTCCTGGGGTGGTTAGTTAAATGGGGTGGCTAAATGCTCCGGATTCCCAACTGTGTCACAAATATTTTATGAGCGCATTTATCCGAAACATTTTTACCCTGCTCTCTAACTGAAAAAGCTCCCAGATCAGTGGTGAGGCAGTCCCTGCCCTCAGGCTTACAATCTAAAATATGTAAAGCTAGATAACTAGAAAGAAATAATTGCTACCTTTCAAGCCAACATGAAGCCTGGATCTGTGTTCTTCAGAAAACCCCTGGTAACCAAAGAAATAGAACAGGAGAAGCCTTAAAAAGACCAAAAATCCAAGCTGGCAAAAGAAACACAAAACACGTCCATTAGTATCATGTCTGTTCCATTCATTTGTTGTTGCCCCCTAAACTTTTGCAAAACTTGAAATTTTTCTATCAATTAACGTAACTTTGCTTATGTTCAGCACCCAGAAGTTGTCTCTACCTCAAATCTATGACCCAGAAAGGCAATTTTCTTTCTACACTTTCTGTAACATTTTCCCTAAGACTTTTAACCTGCAATCAGGTAACATATTAATCAAGATTCCTTAATGTTTCAGAGGCATTGTTTTGTATAAATATGACACTTCTACTGGTTTAAACCTCAATTATCTACACATTTTGGATATCTGCCAGCCTTTTTCAAAAACAAAATTGTACTAAACACCTTTGAACATTAGTTATTGCTGCCTTCCTGACAAAGGGGAATGTGCACCAATGACCTATTAGGCCTCCCTTCCATTTACCACATGGTGATGCCATTGTTAAAAGTTAATATTTTACGCTGCATGCTTGCGGAAATGTATCGAGACAGGTTGAAAAAAAACTTAGATGGGGAGAAAAGAGTAGCAGTGCTGTTTTGGGTTACTACCAAATGCATCTCAAGAGGTGGGGAGTGAAAATCAAGTTATCGGGACTGGTGGCCTGGAGTCAAGCATTTGTTTCAATACAGAGGCAAGCAGAAGTTCGGTGGGGAATCAAGCAAGGCCTCAAACTAAGCTTGAACAAACTTAGGGGCCAAGTCAAAGTCAGTAGCTTTACAGGTCTAAATGGAATCTTATTGGCTTCTTGTGTCATTTGATCTCTGCTGGGCAGAGTCACCCACCCACCATTCCCTTAGGGCTTAGCTTTTTGCTTGACCTTGCTATGGACCTTTGGTTGGTCGCCCAGGTTGCCCAGGGGGCCTGGTAGGAATTTTCCCAACTGGCATTAGGCCTTTTGGATTTTTCGCCTACCTCGTAGCAATCGTCACAACTTTCTTGGTATTTGGCGGTTAGGCATTGGAATGTGTTGTTGGTGTGTGGAAGGGCTAGGTGTGGCCATCGCCTACCCCTTCAAATTTGGGTATTCCGTTAAAGGAATCCGGCGGTCGTGGATCCTGTCTGATGCCTGTGTGGCGGGGGGCCATGGCACGACCCTCGGTGACATCAGGGGAGAGCTTATAGTTGTATTAGCATCAACAGGCTCCACCTACTGGTGAATAAACCCCCTTTAGGCTCACCCCTCTCCGAGTGGGTGGAGCCAATCTTTCGTGGTCCAATGCCTAAGCCAATACCTTCTCACTTGCAGTAATCAATAAAGTTGTGGCCTTTTCTTGCCCATTAACCTTATACACTGTGTCTGTGTGTCTTTATTCCACAAAGCGGGGATCGGGTCCTCGAACCACAACTGCAGGACACTCTCCAGCTATTTGCAATACTGGTACCGCATTGCAGAAGCATTCAGCCCCACAGTGTCCCCTGCTTGCAAGCTGCTATAATGGTGCAGGGTGAGAGGTGGCTGGTCCCAGTTGCCAGATTTCTTACAAGAGGTGAATGAGAGGGTGGGGCTCTTTCGGCAAATGAAAGGGCCCAGTTCCATTCACGGCAGGCAACAAAATCTGGAGGAGGCTCCCTCTGAAGGAACAGGGGAGGCGATAAACACCAATTGTCCCATTGTCCCACAACTCTCTGGAGCAGATTTTCAGAAGGCACCAGAAGCCGCAAAGGAAAGGAAGAAGTGAAAATTGCCTGCTTGCTCTCTTGCACCAATGTGAATTGAAGTTTGGATCCAACTCAGTGTGCCTCAAGCTTTATAGCGAAAGGGGCTTGGGGGGGGGGTCCTTTCTCTTTGAACCCGAAAACCTAATAACAACCCAAGTTAATTATAGGAGCTGTAGTATACCTTACAGAGGAATAAGAAGGCTGGAGAACAGATACAGCTGAAGGAATCATCCCAGATATTCATATGAAATGTGTTTTAATATTGTCCATGATGCACTCGTTAACTGAAAACCAATTTTCAACAAATCTTTTGCTTGGCAAATCAGTTTTGTTTTGTTTTTCTCTTATTTAATATACCAGCCAAACCAGAAGAACTGGTGGAAAGAATCCAATAATGCCTGAGAAAGTTAATATTCTCTATACAGCCATCATTAAAGAAAATCAAGTGGTAAACAAGACAACAGAAGTCCTGGGGACTATATTAGAACTTGAGATGTCAAAATAATTGGGCTCACCAGACTAGGTGGAATACTTAACGTCTTTGCTTTGCTTGGAAACAGACCTGAGTGCAGTGAAAATATTTAATACAATATATTCTCTTAATACACAGAAAGGTTTTTTTAAAATCCGGGGGGGGGGGGACCTATGCAAAAATTACTAGCGCAGGTTTGCTCCAGTAATGCTTCTTTGTTTGTGGTGAGAAAAAAGTTGCCTACAGAAGAATTTTAATAAAGGTTAATAAAGCTTTTAAAAAAAGAAAGAAAGAGAAAATCAGAAGATGCAAGGTTCTTTTTTTCTTTCAGGAAATTGATTTGCCACAAGTGATTAATTTAACTATATATGAATGGATATGCTAGTAATTTGTTTTGTGGGCTAGTAACTTCTGTCAACTTTTGTGCAAGGTTAATGGAGGAGGACAACTCCCTATCATTTCATCCCGCACCCATTAAAGATTGTGCTTGTTCACACTCCTTCACATACAGCTAATTTTTTCTTTTGCGCAATGCTAACTTTTATAATAGCTACAACACATATTTCCTGAGGCTCAGATTCAATTCCCCAGTAGAGAAAGACCTGATGGAGCACCGCCACTCACCCAAAATCTGCTCAGTCACATCACTGCTGCCTACTGGAACGTAGAGAGGAATAGGCAATGCATCAGCAAGGTCACTGCGGTGCAAACACACCAGCGGGTGCACTGGATTGGCTCATCGGGTGCGTTTGCACTGCAACAACTTTGCTCACATGTGTGTGCACACGTCAATTTAGGGAACTAAGGAAGAGGGCCCTAGTGATAGACAGCTTGTGTTGTGTAAAAAAAAGGTGCTCAGTGGTTAGCAAGAGATCATAAAGTTTTAGCAGAGAAATCACTGTGATCAAGACAAAAATGTGTTGTTTGAAAGGGATCTATGAATCATAGGAAAGAGGTACAAGATTGAAGTCCAATTTGGTACCATCATTTATCTTGCAGGTCTTACTTAGCTTTCAGAAGCAAATGGTTCTCATTTGGACATTTTCATTTACATGGCTTCAATTTTGTCCTCTCTCTTGAATGCATAAATCTCTTGCTGGTACTTTAAGATTATGTGACCTAACATAATACATCTTAGTTAATGATAATCCATATGGGAGAATAAAAAGGTCACATCATTTAAGCAGTGAGAAGAACATTATGCAAGATGATCATGGAAATTATTAGAAAATCCAAGCTATCCATATGTATTGAGAACAAAAAAAACACACCTCCCAATGATTTTTGTATGTATTTTACAGCATCTCATTAAAGTGTCACTTGAAAGCTGAACTGTGGAATACTCAAAACCAGTGAATTCAGAGAGATAAAAATTCAAGATAAAATGAGTTATAATGAGGATAGCATAAAAGAAGACTGCACTGCTTTCACTTGAGCATGTTGATGCAAATTACTTTCTCCAATAAAAGGTGGACCATATAAACTGCAGCTCCCATAACTCGCTTCCATGGCAAAGATTATGAGTTGGGACCTAGAAGAAACAGCTGTCTGTCGTTAGTACAGTCACGGCATGCATTCCAGCAAACTGAACATCTGCTTTTATTTGCGGTAATGTAAATTGTCAACAATGCCATAGATCTGAAAGCGCCCCTATGGATCTTATAAATGAAGTATTTAAATGTTACTACCTTTATGACTATTCCCTCCCTCCATCAACTTTATGCTATACATCACCAAAAGCAGCATACACCATTAAGCTAAACCAAAAATCAATACAAACATTTAATCCCCCTTCCAAAAAAACAATAACATATTCTTAAAGGCCAAAAGGACGACAAAATCTTTAATGGCTGTCTCAAGATGGATGCAGTTGTAGCCTAGAAGACCTCCAATGGGACAGCATTCCACTTCTACAACCTTGAGCGGTCACAGACTGTCAGAAGAGAGCAAAGAATCTCATGGCATAAGATCACAGTATAGCAAGATTGGTACACAAGGCCTAGAGTGGCACTTAAGTAGCCATGAAATGAAACAACATATATATCAGGGTATCAGGACGCGGACAGCTACTCTTAAAAAAAATACAACATACCTTGGACAACTTGATTTCACATGAGAAGAGATGCGGCTTCTCCACTGTATCATAACAGAGTCTATACAAAACAGATTCCGCGAGGAAAAATAAAACTGGGATATGGTCTGGAACAAGAGGCGCATGGTCCAAGGAAATTAAAAGTATTTCAACAGCTTCTGAAGTGAAAAGAAAATGACAGATAAATTCAATAAACAGCTTCCTCTGCAGAGCCTTAATATTTCATACGGTACTCTTATCGCACCTGCAACACAACGCTTGCCAAGTTATGAACAAATAAAACAAGTGTTACATCAAATTTCCCCCAGATTGTTTGCCTTCTCTGATTATCACTTTGATGAAAAAGTAATTAAGGCTCGTCTCTTTCATAATTTTGTTCAACAGTTGCTGAAATGTTTATGCTAGACTATGAATTAAATCCTATTGCATAATAAAGCCATCTAAATTAATAAAATTAAACAAGCTACCAAGAATGTGCAATGTACACGGATGATGGAGGTAATCTGTAACATTTGTTCTCCTGCCAGTTTTTTGCTTAGTGCAACTGATGGTTTTGCTTTTCATACTGCAAGTTGAAGAAGGATGTACAAGGCAGGTTTGCGGCCTCTTTGCATTCTGCGCTTTTCAAACCTACAAGCCCTGTGCATCCTCAGTCTCCAACTACCAAGAAACATATAAACTAAATGAAGCTGAATCTAGACAAAGATGCATTAAATATCTAAGGTTTGGGGTGAGGTGGAAGCTTAGAGGTTCTCTCTTGCCAGGTCAATCTCCCATGCTTATTCAGTTTAAAGCTAAAGGTAAAGGGACCCCTGTCCATTAGGTCCAGTCGTGGCCGACTCTGGGGTTGCGGCACTCATCTCGCTTTATTGGCCGAGGGAGCCAGCTTCCGGGTCATGTACAGCTTCCAGGTCATGTGGCCAGCAAGACTAAGCCGCTTCTGGCGAACCAGAGCAGCACACGGAAATGCCATTTACCTTCCCGCCGGAGCGGTACCTATTTATCTACTTGCACTTTGACGTGCTTTCCAACTGCTAGGTTGGCAGGATCAGGGACCGAGCAACGGGAGCTCTCCCCGTTGTGGGGATTCGAACCGCCGACCTTCTCATCAGGGACCCACGTGGCTAATGGTAAATGGGACCACTGTAAAGATATACCGTATTGGCCCGAATATAAGCCACACTTTTTTCCCAAATTCCGACCATGAAAAGTTAAAGGGTGGCTTAAATTCGCGACCTTACAAAAATTAGCTTCTACGATATCGCTCCCAGTCTCCCCCAAAGCTGGGTAGGAAAGAACATGGGGGAGGGGAAAGACCGCCGGCAACGCAGCAAGGCTCCTTCCCCCTCCCACCCAGAATGCAGCCAGGATCGCGGTGCCAGGAGTCCTCTCTAGTATCCATAGGATTTTCTTCTACATTTGCCATTTACGGGTGTGAGCGCCTGCAGAATTTTAAGGGAGTGGCTTATATTCGAGTACTGTCTTTTTCTCTCTTTTTTCCCCCTTGAATTTTAAAAGTGTGGCTTATTTGTGGGTGTGGTTTATATTCAGGCCAATACGGTAATAACTTCCAGAGGGGTAGCCGAAAATCAAGAAAACCAAAGAGTCTTTAAAGCAGGGCTTTCCAAACTGAGGTCTCCAGCTGCTTTTGGACTACCATTCCCATCATCCTTGCCCACTGGTCCTGCTAGCTAGGGATGATGGGAGTTGTAGTCCAAAAACAGCTGGAGACCCAAAGCCCTGCCTTAAAGACTATCAAAACCGTATCCCATAATAAATTTGTTAAGTTTTTCAGGGTCCCACAAGATACTTTGTCTACTATAATGATGTAATTAGCTCCAAGTTTTCCTGTTAAGCTTAAATAAAGAGAATTGGTTATCTCATTTGAATGACTTATCTATTGAAAAAAAGGAAATAAAGTTAAAACTGTTGAAAAAGCTAAAGAAATTACAAGTGTAATTAAAGTCCTGATGCACAGGCCTCATCCTCAAAAATTCTAAACTAATTACCACAGAATTATTAACATAACTGCATAATTTCATTTTCATAGTAGGTGATAACCGTTTCATAGGTGGGTTGAATTTTAGTAATACTTAAAATAAAGAATGACAACATTATTAAAATTAATCTCAGTTAAATGGACTGAATATAACTATTAAAAGGCAGGAAAAATACTTTTATTTTTCTTAATTAAGAGGTGACACATTTCTGCAAGAAATGTGCATATAGAAGACAGGTATATACAGTAATCAGATAGTAATATTAAGCAGGAAGTTAATGTTGCATCACCAATTGTAAAAAATTGAGGAAATAACAATAGGGATTAAGCTTCAAGTAATAGTCTCCAAGTGGCTGCATGTACATACAGATGCATGCAGACAAAATGGAAATATAAGTCGGGGGAGCGAATAGTTTACCATCAATCAGTGCTCCTAGTGCTGGACAAAAATTATTTTCTACAGAATTAAGTTTAATCTTAGTTGTGCCATCATGGATCAATGCAACCCTACATGACTGCTCAGAAATAAGTCCCACAGAGTTCAGTGGGACTTAACAGTTAAGTTAAGCTTGCAAACTATTTTGATAACTGAATTGATGGTTTTAAAAAAAAAAAAAACCTGAATCGATAATTTTTTTTAAAAAAACACCTTTTTATTCAAAAATTCTCAACAATATATTTTGCTTTTTTAAAAAAAACTTTCAGCTGACTGTAAAATATATGCACAGCATTCACCAATATAGCACTGAAATCTGAAGCTGAAGACAGAAGGTTTAGCCCACTGACACGGAAGGTAGATAATCTCATATTTCAAAACCAGAGTATATAGTAAAAGCCACAGAGAATTAGCCTTGTGGACTTTTTAAATGTTTAAACTTTTATTAACATTCCATAAGGCTCATACTAAATAATTTATGATTGATCAGGAAACATGTACAAAGAATGGGGAAATGTTAGCAAACAATAAAGGAGAAAATTACTTCTCTAAGCAAGCAGCACAAACATGCATATTTGAAGAGACTTTATATGAAATTCAGAAAAAAGAGAGAGCATTAGATAATTTTTAAAAATTAGAATTGTATTATTTATCTATAATACTCATAGCTCATCATAGTGTACTATAATGTACTGTATTATGAAGTGGTCATTACAACTTTTCTGAACATAAGCTGATACACCAACAATAAATAAAAAATTCTCAGACTTAATTTTTTAGTAACATTGGAATATTTTTGTTGATTTGGGGATAATTTGATTGACAAAGCATGAATTCATATTTTTGGATAAAATGATGCTGTGATTCGAGGACCCGTACCCCGTGCAGTGGAATGAAACACAAGGACACGTGTTAATGGTTAATGGGCAAGAAAAGGCCACAACTTTATTGATTACAGCAAGTGAAAAGGTATTGGCTTAGGCAATGGATTACGTCAGCTGACTCCACCCCCTCAGAGAGGGGTGAGTCTGAAACAAGGGGGGTTTATTCACCAGTAGGTGGAGCCTGTTGATGCTAATCCAACTATAGGCTCTCCCCTGATGTCACCTGATGTCACCGAGGGTCGTGCCATGGCCTCCCGCCAAGCAGGCATCGGACAGAATACACGACCGCCAGATTCCTTTAACGGAATACCCAAAAATTGAAGGCATAGGCGATGGCCACACCTAGCCCTTCGACACCACAACACATTATTCCAATGCCTAACCTACCCACCAATACCACGAAAGTTGTGACGATTGCCTACGAGGTAGGCGAAAAAACCAAAAAGCCTAATGCCAAATGGAAAAATTCCTACCAGGCCCCCGAACAACCAGGGCGACCAACCTAAGGTCCATAGCAAGGCCAAAAGAAAACTGGAACCCTGCTCTAAGGGAGTGGAGGGTGGGTGACTCGCGACGGGACAACGAAAAGTGAGGGCTGGAGGCTGGCGCCGCAGCAATTTAGGCTGCTGTACACGCCCCCCCTTGAAGGCACCTGGTTGGGTGCCTGGCCAAGGGCGTGGGCGCCAGCCAGGTGAGTGGGAGGCAGGGGGCAAACGCCCCCTGCTTGAGGCGGAGTCCGGCTCCCGGCCACAACCACTCCCCTCTCTTGCAGGGAGGAGAGTCTTTATATTGTCCCAGTATTTCTCTATGTATTTAAATTAATAATTATTATTATTTATTTATTTATACATACTCCACCCATCTGGCTGTGTTTCCCCAGCCACTCTGGGTGGCTCCCAATAGAATATTAAAAATGTGATAAAACATCAAACATTAAAAACTTCCCTAAACAGGGCTGTTATCTATAAAGGGTTGCCATATATTTAATATACCAAGAAGTCAAAATATGGCTTTATGATCAATAAGAGCAACATTATGGTGTTCAGAACTAGACTTGCCCCTGAGAATTACATTTATCCAGCAAACTAAAATGATGTGGAAAACTAATTCAGGTCAACCAGACTTCGATATAAAAAGCTGGGAGTATGGATTTGTTTGCATGGATGCAAATGAGTCATTTACAGGTATGGGCATCTGCCTGGAATTAAAGCGTTTCTTCAGCACGTTTTAATATTTTGCGCAACCAACCATTAGGGACCACTTCTGGCCCAAAATCAAGAACAAAAAACAACAACATCAAGGCTAAAAGAGCTAACTGACCACAAACTGCTTGTTTTGGACAAATTCTCATAGCTGAACTCACAGAACAATACAGATGAGACTGATGGGACTAAAATTCAAATAAACCCTTTGAACTTATTATTCCATCTGTTACAGTCATAGTGCACAGCAGAGAGACAACCTTCTTTTTTATAACCTTATGGTTAACAACGATAATGAATACAAATTAGCAGGCAATCAGTGCAATGAGATTTGAAAGGCCAGCTATCTGAGATTTACCCAGATGTCATGCCCAAATTACTAAGGGTGGAGTGAGGAAAGGGATCAAAGAACTCATCCAAACAGAATCTGCATTTTGCTGTACAAGAATGTTGGGATATGATAGTGATGTTGTGTACCTGGCTTGTGTGTACTATTTGCGGCTGAATTTTCCTAATACCTGTCCAACATGTACATTTTACAATAATAACAGGGGGCAGAAAAGGACAACCTAAATTATATGGGCTCTGGATAAATTTACCTATGGAGATTTTACTTTCTTGGGCTCCATGATCACTGCAGATGGTGACAGCAGTCACGAAATTAAAAGACGCCTGCTTCTTGGGAGAAAAGCAATGACAAACCTAAACAGCATCTTAAAAAGCAGAGACATCACCTTGCTGACAAAGGTCCGTATAGTTAAAGCTATGGTTTTCCCAGTAGTGATGTATGGAAGTGAGAGCTGGACCATAAAGAAGGCTGATTGCCAAAGAATTGATGCTTTTGAATTATGGTGCTGGAGGAGACTCTTGAGAGTCCATGGACTGCAAGAAGATCAAACCTCTCCATTCTTAAGGAAATCAGCCCTGAGTGCTCACTAGAAGGACAGATCCTGAAGCTGAGGCTCCAATACTTTGGCCACCTCATGAGAAGAGACGACTCCCTGGAAAAGACCCTGATGTTGGGAAAGATGGAGGCCACAAGGAGAAGGGGACGACAGAGGACGAGATGGTTGGACAGTGTTCTCGAAGCTACCAGCATGAGTTTGACCAAACTGCAGAAGGCAGTGGAAGACAGGAGTGCCTGGCGTGCTCTGGTCCATGGGGTCACGAAGAGTCGGACACGACTAAATGACTAAACAACAACAACCAAAGGGTGACACGCTAGAGAGGCATACAATTATGTACATTGTGGAGAAAAGGAACAAGGTTTTTTGTTTCTCTCATAATACTAGAACCCAACGTAACCCAGTGAAGCAGAATGGTGGGAAATCCAGACTAAAGGAAGTACTGCTTCATATATCTAAATTTGTGGAATTTGCTTCCACCAGTTGTCTTGCAGCCATCAACTTAAGCTCTCTTCCAATGTTATACTACTGTATTATATCCACATGCAAAAGGGAAATATGGGGGGGGGGGCGGGTAAGCAGACTAGCTCCAACTCCCATCACTCTCCCCATCACCCAAGGGATAACTTCTTGAAACAAGTAGCTTCTTATGTACTCATGTAAATACCCATGAGATTTAGAGCCCTGGAAAATCAGGGAGGCAACAAAGGAGGGAGGGGGCCTCTTGGTTGAAAACTCACATGGCCAATTATAATGGCTGAAGGGAGCTAAAGTAGCATCCATGTATATAAAATGGGGGCATATATTAAATGACTTTTCTTCATCCTTTGGATCAGTCATGTTAATCTGCAGATCACTGATCTTTGTCTGTCATATTTATTTCGTGTATGACCCTTTCCATAATCATTCCACTTGCCATTCACTCAAGTCAAAAGATAAAAAGGAATAATAATATTTGAATATGGGACAAACCTTGTTATGCTGAGCTCGTATTTTGCACAATTTGAATACGGTGTCTGTTTGATAATGTGTGGTTTGCTATGCCTAATAAAGGATATTTGATGAATTGAATAATAATAAATGCAGTGCTATTTTTCTAGAAAAAGAGGTGCCAGAACTCACCTCCCTTGTTCTCTTAGAATGGCAATGGTGCCCACCTGAGAGGTGCTGTAACTGAATTCCAGCTGGAAAAAGCCCTGATAATATCCAAGGTCCATTTATCCTTTTATCCTCATCAAATTTTATAAAGCGAGGTATTTCATTCTTTGGGTTTTTTGAGGGGGGTGATTTGCAGGAGGGACACTTTAAACCTTGTTCCATTATTCCTAAATCTTTGAAACTAACAATATCATGCTTTTTCATAGAAATAATTGGGGAAACCTAAAACGTGCCGTTATTGAAGGCAAATTACTTCACAAGTTTAAATGTCATTTTAAATTACACCCAATTAATGTCTAAATTTAGAAAGAGCTTATAAAGCAGTGCTACTTGAAAAAAAAATCATGAGAATGCTGAATATACATGGTTTTGTAATTGCACAAAATTAAGTATCGAAATGCAAGGCATTAGGTGAAGTGCTAATTCTATTGCAGGCTTTTCATCTGTGAAGTGGTTTCTGGAATAATTTGAGCAGCCAAATTCTGTCTGTCTTGCTCAGTTGAAGCCTACAGGGCACAGTCGTGCAGTTGAAAACTGGAAACAACAGCCAACAGCAGAGGTCCAACAGAAATAGCAAGAGGAAAGACAAAAGGACTGTGAAAACTGTTAAACGGCATAGAAATTGAGAGGGGAGGGTCAGGGTTGTGCCCACCAGCCTTCACACTCTGATCATTTCATCTACACAAGGGTCTATATATACACACTGCAATGTGCAATGACTCTGAACATGCAACCCATAGGCTGCAAAAATGGAGTGAACAGCTTGTGCCTTCAACAGCTACATGCGTTGTGCAAAAATTACAGTTAATGTGTGGCAGCTTGGGTGGGACCAGCAGGTATAGAATCAGAGTCTGAATGTACCTAAAGGTCACCCACTCCAACTGCCTACCAACGTAGGAAATCCACTACTACAACACCAGTAATGGCGTGACCATTGTCAAAGAGCTCATGCCATCCAGAGGGTCCTTCTAATTTTTAGACTAAATCTTTTTCTTTTTTCTGTTCTGTAATTTGAACCATTGATTCAGGTTCTCCCCTCTGGAGCAAAGCAGAAAACAAATTTGTTCCATCATGTATGTGACAGCTCTCCAAATATGTGAAGATGGCATGGTATCACTTCTTAATCATCTCTTCTTCAGGCTAGACACGCCCAAGTCCCTCAACCTTTCTTCATAGAACTTTGATATTCATGCCCTCATAATCTTTGTTTTTCTTCTCCAGATACATACACACACATTTCTAGTTTAATCATCTGCACGGGGCTAAGGTGTCCATCAGATACATGATCTTCAGGCCTATGGACAACCCACAGGTAGGTAATTTGTTCCAATAATAATCTCTAGAACAAGAGTAGGCTCTAGATAACAAAGCAAGCTCTGAAAACTGCCTCCAGCTTTGTCCTCTTCATGAAGAGTAGACATGCTTTGGCAGAGTTTAGCACTCCTTTCACATTATATATTCTCCTGAGAGCCAGTGTGGTGTAGTGGTTAAGAGCGGTAGACTCGTAATCTGGGGAACCGGGAACGCGTCTCCGCTCCTCCACATGCAGCTGCTGGGTGACCTTGGGCTAGTCACACTTCTCTGAAGTCTCTCAGCCCCACTCACCTCACAGAGTGTTTGTTGTTGGGGAGGAAGGGAAAGGAGAATGTTAGCCGCTTTGAGACTCCTTCGGGTAGTGATAAAGCGGGATATCAAATCCAAACTCTTCTTCTTCTTCTTCTTCCTGGACCGGTCTTGGGCAAAGAAAAGTAGATTTGGGGCAAGTGGTAATAGGGCTTCTTGGCTGTCTCAGGCTGGTGACTTGTTAGGTCTTCAGCTGCTCAGCAGGGGTCCCTCCTGCATTTATGAACACAATCTGCTCATTTGCATATAGACCTTCAGGTCCCAATGGGCCTGGAATCCCAGATATTCCAGCGCCATGTCTGGGTTGCTACTGTGCACCATGGAAATGACTCATCATCTGGCAAGTTGCTGTTTAATTACTGACTTGCCATCTATGCAACATGACTAAAGTTAATAAGGTGAAATGAACAAGGTTATAAAATATAAAGGAACTATTATTATTATTATTATTATTCTGCTCTTCAGAAGGCCCCAGGGCAGGGTACAGCAATATAAATTACAGCATTAAAAACAGTTTAGAACAAACTGTGAAATGAGCATTTCTCCCAGACATTTAGAATTGAAAGCTGAATTGCAAGTAGTACTATTTTACTCCAATATCTCTGGTTTTAAAATCCCATCAAAAAATGTTCTCTGCATTCTTTTGATGATTCTGAGTACAAGAACTTTCAGTTAGTTTGGTTCATTACTTTCCAGCATGCCTCTTCAGTTTCAGAGATACTCTGCTTTTATCTAACCAGAGAGAAATCTGTGATTTTCCAATATTGAGGCTTCAGCTTTCAGGATGTTAATCACAGCCGTCAAATGGAAATAACCATGCAGTTATCAGCTTTTTCTTGTAAATGTCCAGGTTGAGTCTAAAATTTTGCAACAGCACTGCACTAATGGTCTTATAGGACAGGGATATTCAACTTTAGTTATACTCATCCAATGTTATTGCATGCCTGTATCCATAAGAATAATTTCAAAAGCCAAGTCAGTTGACACAGAATGGCATCAAAGCAGAAACAAAAATAGTATTTTATATATATTGTGTAATTAGTCTCTTTGTGAGAATAGCTTTATTTTCTTTCCAGTGTCTATAAATTTTGCAGTGCTTGCTTAGAGAAAGGGGCAGCAAAAAAAGAATCTGAAAGAAACCTACCTTCGTGAATTTCTCCTTTACACTGTAATAACAGAATTGCCTCAGCCCATGCCACAGGAAGATTTACATACTTCCCAATACCTAATGTGTTAAGACCTGATCGCCTCTGTTTGGAACATAAAAGATAATAAGACAAAACTTGAGATTTAAAAATCCTTTCAAAAGTCAATATACTTAGAATGACGTTTCTACATATTTAAAGAAAGTGCTATTGCTGATGCAAAACGCAATAGCTGGAGCTAACAAGGTAGCAATGTTTAATCCCTCAGGTTAACACTTAAATAAGAAGATGAATGCTTAGCTCTAATTATACTGTTATTACCACCTGAAGTACCTTGCAACAAAAGCAATTAATTACTAGCTCCGCATCATAGTAATAAATTGAACCAAGTTGTGAAGGGAACTCTTGTGCTAGCATCTCAGTAGGATGGAATCCAATTAGTCAATCCCAACAAAATGTGTCTCATGTCCTACAGCAGGCTTCCTCAACCTCGGCCATCCAAATGTTTTTGGCCTACAATTCCCATGATCCTTAGCTAGCAGGGCCAGTGGTCAGGAATGATGGGAATTGTAGTCTCAAAACATCTGAAGGGCCGAGGTTGAGGAAGCCTGTTCTACAGGCAACTCTTGCATGACTGCAGTTTGAAAACTAATTTGGTTGGACTCACAGATGCTCTTCTTTGGTCACACGCACAGCATGTCACCAATCAGACAAAGCGTGTTCTCCTTCATGGAGAGCACGTGCTGCGGTGGGGGCCGACAGGACACTCCAAAGTTGTGGGGCGGGCTAATTGATCATTGGCCACTGTTGTGATTGGGCTTCCCTTGCTGTTGAGAAGATGTTAATGTTGCCATTTGATGACTGACAGCCAGAAATGTTAAAACTCCCTGCACGAGGCGTAGAGCTTCCTCTTTTCGCCCGTGCATCGGATTGCCCATCCCCCCTCCCTATATTTAGGGTGGTTCGCTTTGACCTTGCTATGCCTGTCATGGGGTCGTCTGCTCTTGGGGCAGGGGCCCGGTAGGAATTTTGTCCATCTGGCTGATTGGTTGGGGCCATTTGGTTTTTGCCTACTGGGTAGCAAATCGTCACAACTTGTAAGGTTGCAGTTAGGCATTGGTTTATGGTTTGGTTGGTTGAGGGGCATGGATTGGCTGTGCCTGCCCCTCTAACGCTGCTGAAAGGGATTCCGTTAAAGGAATACAGGGGCTCACTATTGCTTTTGTCCGAACCCCGTCAAGGGGCTAGGGCCACACAAGAGCCCCTGGTTGCATTTGGGGAAGGCTTGAGGGCAGGTTCCCTGCTCCGTCGCTACCCCAAAATGTATTCCCCTTTTCTGACTTTCGCAGGCTTGCGAAATGTCAGTCTGTCCCCCACTGAGGGGCAGATAGTCACAACCAATGCCTAAGCAACCACTCACATTTTTTGTATTTTAATAAAGTGGCCAAAATTATGCCAAAAACCTTAAACAAAAATTCTGTGTGTTGTGTGAGTTATTTGGGGTGGCCTGGGGACATCGACATGCAAAACACTCCTTGTCAGAATTTGTATTTCTATTTATTTAAACAAATTAGCATATGCCAAATGATCAATGGAAAATTCCCTTGTAAACTTGCATCATTTCCGTCAGGTCATTCTGTGCACCCCTCCCCCAATTTACCAGAAGAGGCAGCAAGATTAAAAACAGCAAAGGTTGCATGGGGGGGAAAGGATGTTCTTTCCAATCCTAAACTTCTTTTTAGAAAACTGTAAGTACGTAGGTCTGATTCTCCCACCACTGCCACAAAAACTGCCCAGAAATCAAATACTTTAATCATTTTCATTTAATAATTTTTTAATGGTTTTATATGTCTTGTACAAACCATTTGATGAATATCAGCCCTAAAGAGATTCTGTTACAAGAATCCTCCGATGAAGTTGTTTGCTTTCATTACGAAGGAACTCTGAGCTTAGGTCCTTTTTTCTCAGTATGAGCAATGGGACATGCTTAATCCATTGGTTGATTTTTGTATTCTAGTATCTGATTTCACCCAGTAGAATCTCTCATCTCCATCCAACTTATCATTGGAACAAAATATTTGGGAAAAATATTTCAGGTAAGTGGAAGTGGGGTTTACAGTCAAGCAGTAATGGGAGTTTATTATATAAATGTGAGAAAATCGCCATATATTTCCACATATTTCTCCTCCTCTGATAAATGATGAGAAAGGGCCATTTGTGATTTCTGCATTATGACAACTTTATTTATTGTTTCATTTTCTTACATTTATATTCCACCTTTCATGGAACCCAAGATGTCATCAAGTTACCATTCCAGGTACCAACCAGACCCAGAGCTGCTTAGCTTCACAAGGTATTACCTTCAGATAATACAACGTGGCACAGAAGGGTCATTTCAGTCACATCTCTCACATTATGCAGTTCTGTACCCAAGGGCAGCCTAAATGAGCTTGAGCCAAGCTCCCTCTACAAAATATTGCAAAACCTTCTTCACTCAACCTTTCAGTGAGACTCTGGAATTTTGTTGAAGGCATGTTATGTAAACATAAGCATACATAAACAACTGTACTAAACATAAATATTGCCCTTTGCATTTTTATGTGTTCATTATTGACTTTTTATCAATACAGATATTGGATGTTATCAATAATCTCAACAATCTCTATCCAAAATCTGCCAACCCTCACTAGGAGCCTGTGGTATCAATATAACTGTGTGAAGGTTGAATTTGTTGACTTGTATCAGCAAATGTGTTATTTCTGCAAATGAACAGGGGGGAAAACACGATGAAAATGGTAACTTAAAGGTCACTTTCAAAAAGTAAATAATGAACATTTTGCATCAGAAATATTTAAATTAATTCTTAACTATTAAACACCACTGTAGAAATTTAAGATCAAGAGATGGCCTTTATAAATGTCTCTTTAGAAATCCAGTAATCCTTACGTATACAGACCTTGCATCTTGCAAGCATTTTTTTAGCCAGCTCTATGAATTTTTCTTTACTTTCTGTTTGTAGTGCGTAATTGAAATCCTCAACGAATTGTTCTGTAAGTTCATATGGGTTTCTGATAAAGAATACAGTGAAGAATTTCAGTTTAATTGACACATCATCAGTAAATGAAATCAAAATTTTGTGTATGAAAGATAACTATAGACAGCTAATTTAATTTTTAAAATCCTATTTGACTCAATGTACAGTGTAGATCATTGTTCTGTGTTTCTAATTTACAATACTTTATCTGTTGGATAATGCTATTAAGACTGTTTCAATAGCAGCCAATAGACTATGAATATTACAGAAATATATTGATTATTAAACACTGCACTTACGGTTCATCATTATGCTGTTTCCAAGTTATTGACATTTCTTCATGGAATGCAGTATTTTGTAAGAAACTGCCAATAATCTATGTATAAACCATCATGCTTTACAAAAACATCTGCATGTATTTACTCACTGAATACACAACACATTACAAGACAGTTCCATATAAGAATTTCATCATGTTGGAAAGAGTTAACTCTTCACAATATTAGCCCTTTGAATGATTGTTGGTGAAGAAATTAGACCAGGCATAGGCAAACTCCAGCCCTCCAGAAGTTTGGGACTACAATTCCCATCATCCCTGACCACTGGTCCTGTTAGCTAGGGATGATGGGAATTGTAGTCCCAAACATCTGGAGGGCCGGAATTTGTCTATGCCTGAATTAGACTAATCAATACATACTAGCAGGTAAACATAAATTCTGAGCTGGAACTGATTACTTAAGTGAAATTACTACCCCTCCCTTAAATAGAAATCTACCTGATATTTCTCTAGATTGGCCTCTTAAACATCTGCTGTCTTAGTTTCTCTAGAACTAAGCTTCATAGGGACGTGGGTGGCGCTGTGGGTTAAACCACAGAGCCTAGGACTTGCCGATCAGAAGGTCGTGGTTCGAATCCCCGCGACGGGGTGAGCTCCTGTTGCTCGGTCCCTGCTCCTGCCAACCTAGCAGTTCAAAAGCACATCAAAGTGCAAGTAGATAAATAGGTACCGCTCCGGCGGGAAGGTAAATGGCATTTCTGTGCGCTGCTCTGGTTCACCAGAAGCAGCTTAGTCATGCTGGCCACATGACCCGGAAGCTGTACGCCGGCTCCCTTGGCCAATAAAGCGAGATGAGTGCCGCAACCCCAAAGTCGGTCACGACTGGACCTAAAGGTCAGGGGTCCCTTTACCTTTACCTTTAAGCTTCATAGGAAAGAATCCCAATCAGAGCATTAATGCATCTGAAAAACTTAATGTGACATGATGAAAGGAATAATAATATTAATAAGGAAAACAGTAATGATAAAATCTCTTTAAATTAAAATAGGACACTGCTAAAAATGACTTACACTATTTCACATCTTCTATTTTGCATCCAAATATATGGATTTGAGTTAAAAGAGACTTAATATGGATTGTACTTTTACAATAGTATACCGTTTGAGCAACCAATTGATATCACGCTAGTCAGCAGCAGGCCTAAGGCAAGGTTGACAGATGCCTTTGATACATCTAATCTCCACTTACTAAGCAAAAAAGGGACACGGGTGGTGATGTGGTCTAAACCACTGGGCCTCTTGGGCTTGCTGATTGGAAGGTCAGTGGTTCGAATCCCCGCGACTGAATGAGCTCCCATTGCTCTGTCCCAGCTCCTGCTAACCTAGCAATTCGAAAGCACACCAGTGCAAGTAGATAAATAGTTACTGCTGCAGCAGGAAGGTAAATGGCATTTCCGTGGGCTCTAGTTTCCATCACGGTGCTCCGTTGCGCCAGAAGCGGCTTAGTCATTCTGGCCACAGGAACCGGAAAGCTGACTGTGGACAAACGCCAGCTCCCTCGGCCTGAAAGCAAGATGAGCGCCGCAACCCCATAATTGCCTTTGACTGGACTTTAACCACCCTGGGGTCCACCTTTATCAACTAAGCAAATAGTTTCCAGTAAGTCACAGAATGGCAGGTAGTAACCTAGCTCATACTATCTTGAGAGAAGTATTGTTTGTTCTGTTGTCCTGTCTAACAATCTTTTAATTTGGGGGGCATCTTTGGCTCCTTGTGTACCCACCCAGTCAAATGGTTATTTCCTGCTGTCATTTCCGCTAGAGTTCCCCAGAAACCACTTTTTCCTATCTATATCTTCTCCATGCTCCCAAGTCTCTCATTAACATGCTTGCAGGTTTCACTGGAAACACCGAAAATCTTTGTCCACTTGTAAACTTACACGTGTTTCTTTTTCTTGGTTGCAGGTAATGTTTCCTTCAGATATTTAGCCAAGAGTCTCTGCTGAAGTTTTTTATGTTCATCATGGCATACAATACCAAATTTGTGGACCACTGGCACCTTTATGATGGGCATGTTGTAAAATCAATCTTAAAAAAAAAAAAAGACAGAATGTTACAGCCATATAGAAACGTAATCTTAAGTCTTTCTTACCTTAGGCAGAAAGCTACCATATACAGTCAAAATGCAAGATGAAGTGTGTTCTGCCATGTTTTTCTCTTCTACCTTAAGGGGAAAAGTAATCTGGAGGCCCTTGGCTGGTAAATTCTGTATAACAACCTTGAATATGCAATCTAAATGGTTCAACTGGGGAAAGTCCATTTCTATTAGATCACAATAATGAATAACAATAATAAGCTATAAATAAAATCAAAATAGAATAATTGAAGTATAATTGCAGTATGGTTAAGCTTATTGATTTACACACCATTCCTCAGCACAGTTAAGTGAAAGCACTTGGATTCAAGCCAATTTATTCCATTGATTTCACTCCCACTACTTCAATGTAACTACTTATTGATCAGGGAATTATGCAGCAGTTCTCCAAACTCACAGCCTGGAGTAGTCAAATCCAAGTTTATCAAATCAAATTGTATTAATTCTTGGAATTGTGTTGACCATATGAAATCAAAAGCATATAGTAACCTTAAAATAGCATTAATAAGATAATGAAACATCAATAAAAACTGATAAATTATGAACTAAAATTCTAAATATCAGTAAATAGCTGTAGGGATACTGGCCATTGAAAGTTCAGAAGCAAAGATGAAAATGTGGCTTACACTCTTCCTCAATAGCTTTCTTTAAAGGGAATACTGTAGTCATAATATGCATGAAAGAACATAACTGCCCTGGTTGCAGGGATATATTGAAATCAGTCAATTTTCATTAGCACAGGTGCTTTCAATATTGCTCTCTTTTCCATGTAGTAGGATCCTAAGATGGTTTACACAGAAGTTGTCCCACTGTGGAAGATTTACTTCCTAGTCATGCAACCTTAGCAAATCAATGTAGTGTTCATGCTTCATTTCATAAGGCTTCTCAATGAATACTGTAATAATACATGAAATTACAAACATTCCTATAAGAGTGGATCGTGTAAAAAGGGGGAAATCACTATAAAGCAAAAACTGCAGGAAGCTACAGGTTCTTGTTAAGTTGAGTTGTTATAGAAACTCACTGCATGACAGATGTTCCATTATCTGTTAATAGGCTGTTATTATCTAAGGGTGTACAAAGTGATCTGAAGTATACTTATTAACCCTCACTGAGTTCAACAGGACTTACTCACTAGTAAATGTGTTTTGGATAACACCTTTACAGTAGCAGCTTGTGGCCACTATTAGAAGATGGCCACCAACTTGGATAGCTTTAAAGGGGGATTAGACCATAGCTGTCAACTTACAGATTTGAAAATAAGGGATCAGCAGCCTCGAAAATAAGGGATCAGCAGCCAAAATAAGGGATCGCCTTTCCTTTTCCCTCACCATGTGCCCCCGCTCCAGACAGACCTTCTCCCCGGCAAGGGTGAGTGGGCCCTCGATGACGTATCCATCCGATTCTGATCCAAGCACAGGTGTGCTCAACTTCTGAGCCCCTCCGAGCCAAAGGCAGAAAGCCCAGCCAGCAGCCTCAAGGAAAACAACCGTCACCTCTCCGCTGGGAAGCGCTGAGCAAAGGTGAGTCCCCAGGCAACGCAGCCGATTCGATCGGCACAGGGCATGCAAGCTCCACCCTCCCAGTCATTCTTAGACTCCTTATTGGGTGAACAATGCAGCCAAGCAACACAGTTGGAGCCTCCCTCCTCCCTGGCCGGCAAGGAGGAAGGGAGAGGAGCTGCTTCCTTTGAAACCCGGGAAATTTAAGGGACATCATCAATAAGGGACAGCAGCGGGACACGGCGCTGGGATAAGGGAGTTTCCCGCCAAATAAGGGACAGTTGACAGCTATGGGTTAGACAAATGTGTGGATGATAAAATTATCTATTGTTAGTAGTCATGAAGACTTATATTTTACCCTCAGTATCAGAGGCAGTATGAATCGCAGTTGCTGGTGGTCATGAGTGGGACAGTGCTACTGCATTCACATCATGGACTGCCCCTGGGCATCTGTTTGCCACTGTGAGAACAGAATGCATATTTACTCATAAGCAAGCATCATTCAGTGTTGCTTAGTGACAGTGGGGCAGGTACCATCCAGTGGGGCTTACTCCCTTGGTAGTGTGTTTAGGATTGCAAACTAGAGAAACACCTAGGAACAGGCAAGGGAAGAAGCATGGATCCTAGCACTTGCCTCCCATTTCTATAATGGGTCAGTTACTATAATTGCCATTGTTCACACCAGCAAGAAATATCAGCCCTGGACAGCAGGACAAAAAGCAAAACTTCTGAGCTGCAAAAATAAATGCAGGTATTGATGTGCAGTAATTAATAACAATAATAATAATAAATTACTTATACCCCGCCCATCTGGGCCTCCCCAGCCACTCTGGGCGGCTCCCAATAGAATATTAATTTTAAAAAGTGACAACATCAAACATTAAAAATTTCCCCAAAGAGGGCTGCCTTCAGATGTCTTCTAAAAGTCAGATAGTTGTGTATTTCCTCAACATCTGGTAGGAGGGCATTCCACAGGGCGGGTGCCACTGCTGAGAAGGCCCTCTGCCTGGTTCCCTGTAATCTTACTTCTCACAGTGAGGGAACCGCCAAAATGCCCTCGGCACTGGACCTCTGAAGGAAATTATCCCAAGTGAATATGCATGCAGAGTAAGAAAGGTCTAAGGCTTGGTCCAACTGTGAAGATGGGAAAATAATATCTATTTAAAGAGACAATTAGAATGCAATCCTAACCCCGCCAGGGCAGTAGAAGAGCTTCCTTCATTCCACTGCTTGTTCTGGGCAGGGAAGAAGGAGGACAGAAGGAAAAACTTAAATTTTTTACAGTTTAGGCAGGCGCATTAAGGACTTCTGCAGTAGAGGACCTCCCCACCAGTGGAGAGCAGCCAAGCCAGACAGAGCTGGACAGCGGGCAGCACCTCATCCAAACCGACCTCCATGAGATCAGGAGTTTGGATTGCTCTGCCCATCCGAGAACCAGAAGGAGAAACTAGAGAAGATGTCAAGGAAGCCTGAAGGGGAGAGAACAATTCTGAATGCCAGTGACGGGAAGAATGAAGTTGAAGACATGTAAACTGCAGTGACAACTGATAAAGCTGGTGAATAATGAGTACCTTGTTGTGATGAAATAGAGCCATATGTTTTAACAGCTGATTTATACCTGTTCTTTTTTTATTACTCTTGGCATTCTGTCTCTGGTTTATAAATTGCCTCGGAACGAAATAAATAAAAAGGATTTGAGAATAAATGTGATGTATGAAACCATTACCATAATACATCAAACAAAAGGCTATTAGAAGACTGTGTTAATGTCTGCCAATAAGCAGTCTTGCATGAATTTTTTAAGAACACATTTAAATCATAATTAGCTCGGCTGATATGTAGATAGATATAGGTACAGATAATTTCACAAATTTTAGTTTGTTACAGAAACAGCCAATTTGAGAAAATGAAACTTATAATTACATAAAGCTCTATAATCTGATCAAATTCAGCCTTATCAAGGTAATAGTATATTTTTTCTAAACAGCTTCCCACCACATTTTTTATCTTAGGTAAGTGAATTCCTACTGATATTAGCTAAAATAATAGTATTTCCAACTTAATGCTTTGGTTAAAGTGTTCCTTCAGCCTATAACAGCTACTGGATATGTCCAAAGAAAAGTCATTCTCAGGTTGTTTTTCCTGGGGCCCACTTCTGTGAGACTTTTTATTCCAAGGCAGGGTACTGCAGGGCACATCAGCTGACGACACAAGCAGTCAGAGCATAAGTCCTGTGGTGCTGTTAGGACCCTTCAAGGTCCTAACAAGAATCTTCAGAAATGGGGAAGGGATAATAAAATCATTTCCTCCTACACCAGGCGCGTCCAACTCTCAAGAGACTGCGATCTACGCCCATTATAACCAAAAAACTGGCAGTGATCTATCCACTGTAATTGGAGGGAGGATGACTTGGGTGGGTGGGTGGGTGGAAGAGGAGGACTGATAAGGGTTGTTGAGCTTTTGGGGGGAGGGGGATTGCAGAACAATTCACAGCTTACAAATGCATGCACCACTAAAACCAATCACTGTATCCCCTATCGACATCAACAAACGCCAAAAAAAACACAACCCGCCCACTAGATGCAACAGAGGAACAAACAGAGGGGGGAGGGGCGGAGACATTCATTCTGCCATTTTTTTAATCCCATGATCGATAAGGATTCCGCAATCAACCAGGATCAACCAGGGATCTACCTGTCAATCGCGGTCGACCAGTTGAACATGTCTGCCCTACACAAATACCCCAGCCCATGGCCCTTCCTTGTTGTACAATAAATTACTGGAGGGCTCCCGACCACAAACCAGTATTTTATAGACCACATCCATCAACATTACATACTGCACAGGCCACTACGGCAAAAGAAAGTTCCAGAGGGATGGTGCTGCAAAGCTAATGGTCCTACTCCAGGTAACCATGGAGCAGACCTCAGGAGCATGTGGTACTTACTAGAAGGGCGTCCCTAGTCATTGTATAGACAAGGCAGCTACATCAGGGGTAATCTAGCAGTCCTTCAGGTAATTTGGTTCCAAGTTGTTTAGGAGTTTATATACTAACAGTAAAGCCACAAACCTGGTTCAATACAGTAGCATAAAGCTAGTTACTAAGAACAAGGCAGGATCAAACTGTGGTTTCTAATAAGGCTCAAGCAGACCAATTCACAACACAGGAAACCATGGTTTTCTGTTATGTCTGAACTGGGCCAATTTGTGTTCTCCATCAATATATCTTATCTCTGGTTTCTCTTTTTATAGTAAGATAGTTGAAACATCCCACAAATAGTAAATAGATGAAATTGCAGAATGGTATTGTTTCTCATATTCTTCAATTTCTTATGCAGATTATAGCTCACACACAACTCTTGAACTACTTGAACTATCATGTTTTCACAGTTAAGGGCACTTAACAACAATAACAAAGCTTGTTTCATCAC